CTCCTATTACGAAACTGTAGAGAAGTTTATTTTATGTAGCTGGGTTGCTCTTGCCAGATGAATTCATTTGCTCAAGTTATTTTTAAAATGTGCTTTCTTGTTTGTGTGGGTGTAGGCCAGAAAAGAAAAAAAAAAAGCCAAGTCTATGGGTGGAAGCCAAAGAAACTGTCTCGCCAAATTGGATCTAAGAAAGTTCTCCCCTTTGAACAGAGTAACATCTACTCCTGGGATGCTGAGTTAAAACACTCCATGGTGCTGGTTTGGGGGCCTGAAGTCCTTAATACTTCTAGAACCAGGAGAACCATCCACGTTGCTTCCTCAGGTGTTTTTGTGAGGCCGGTCAGGCAACTGGACACTCATCCAGAAGAAAGACTGCAGCCCATTTGAACTGCCACCAGTGAGCTGCAGCCTGCTGCCTCATCAGGTCACACAGCCTGCAATGATTCATCAGTCTGCATGGAGAACATTTTATTTCACGATTGAAAAAAAGTAGTTCTTTAGCACGAAGATGCTCATCTTTTTAGGGACCAGAGAAGCAAATTTGGGCTCACCATTTAGAAAAATGTACATGTGTGCCAATTGTGCTTAACACTTCAGTAATGTCATTGGGATAGCATCTAAATACGGCCAGAGATTCACAAGTCTCCTTGTTTCCAAATTTGGGAAACTTAGACCAGGATGTTAATTATACGTAAAATTAGTCATTGTTCTAGTAGTTGGGGACAAAATGATGTGTAAGAGAAGGATAAGTCTGCAGGAGCTCACACAGGACACACAAATAAATCCACAACAATAATAATCCACAACATAATAATAATGTATGTCTTGGAAGGAGTGCAGCGCTTAGAGGCAAGGATGGTGGGATTTTGTCTCATATACCTTGGACATGTTGTCAAGATAGGCCAGTTTCTGGAGAAGTTCATCATGCTTGGTAGAGAGTCAGTGAAAACGAGGTAGACCTTCCACAAGATGGATTGACACAGTGGTTGGATTGATGGGCTCAAACATGGGAACTGCGAGGATGTCACTGGACCAGGCAGTGTTTCGTTCTATTGCATATTGAGTTGTTATGAATCAGAAGCAACTCGATGGCACCTAACAACAATGCATAATAACAAGTTTAGTGCAACGCACGAACTGTAAGTACAGAGACTACAGAGAGAGGGTTCGGTCTACCAGTTACGTAATAAGTATTATAGGCCAGGCTGGTGCATTGACATGGTCTGCACTCCTGAAGCTTAAGATCTGGAATGCTCCAAACGTAAACAGGGGTAGTTTATCTGGAAGAACAGGACATCTTCTTAAAGGTGAACCCTGATTAACAAGTAAAGCTCATAAGGGCGAGGAAGGGAGTGACTAGGCCTGGTAGTGGGAGCAGCATGTAGGGCCACACATGAATCCCCAATACCCTCATTTCCCCAAGGATTTCGGGCTTTTCCAAGAGACAAAGGTCATCGATGGTTTTCAACAGGAGAGAGTGAGGTCTAAGGTTTTCATTCGAAAGATTTCTCTGCTTCCTGTGTGAAAAGGAATTGAGCAGAGGTAGGTGGGTGGTCAACGGGTGAGATCTTGGTAACCAGAAGGTGGGGAGTTAACTGGATGCATCTGGATGAAAGATGATAAGGATTCTACTAGTGGCAGTGGAAGTGAACTGAACTAGATTAAAAACAGGAGAGAGCTCAAGGAGAGTTCTGATGGGTTCAAGCTTCTATGAATATTGCTCCTGAAATCACCTAGATGCATGGCTGCAGAATTGGTGAGATTTAAAAATCACACGTGGGACCCCTGCATTCAACTGCTTAATGCTGCTACTGCTGGTGACCATAACAGGTGCATTTCATCACGACTCACTCTGCTGGTTGCCCTTGCAAGCAGGCCTTGTCTTTACCCGTTTAACCTTTCAACAACCCCATGGGGTAGAGGCTATTCCTGTTTCTGTTGAATAAATGAGGATAGGGAGGCAGGAGGAAGAAGTTAAATAACTTGTCCAAGGTCAGACAGCTGGGAAATGGAAAACTGGTTCAAAATGGATTTGAACACTGGCAATCTGGTCCTGATCTGGCTTCTAAGAACTCTATGTACTTAGAGTGACAAGTAGAAAAATAGTTCTTCATCAGATTCAGTGGGAGCATTACAGCTGATTTCCCTCCCCATTGGTTCTGGACATGTTGAACCATCACAACGAAAAGATTTCCACATCACTCACACTCCAGAAACCTCATAGACGTGCATGAAGCAAAATGTGGGTGTGAGTATTTTTGCAAATTCAGAATCCAAAGAACAGAAAAGCAGAGAAAACAAGCAATGCTGTTTTTAAACAATGGGTGCCGTTTTCCTTTAGCCATCAGGGAGTTTAGAAACTTGACAAACCCATTTAACTTTCAAAGCATTCCACATTTCCCACCCACAAGCAAATGCCAGAAGGTGCCAGCCCCAGCCAACTCGAAGCTCAGGAATGGTTTTTGAAATAGTGGATCAAATTTCTTCAGTGTCCACACTCCATCCATGGATACTTGCCATTGCCCTAATGAGTCTGAGGAAAACTGCTTAACTCATCCAACAATTCATTTAAAAGGACTATTTCATCAAGAGATGAGACAGTGAGGCACAAATGCAGAAACAGGAAACTATAGCGTGTTAATTCCTTCAAAATGATTGAACATCGCGGCCTGACAGCTTTGCAATTTTAGCTGGGTTGTGCAGAGGCTCAATCTTCATGGACTTTAAGGGGGAGAAGGTTTCTGATTACATAAAGGGAAGATTCTAGCTCCATTTTGCAGGGAATGAATGATTCTTTGGAGAAGACAAAAGCATGTCTCCTATATTAATGGTATTCACTTAAATAATATTTAATAGAAGCATATCTTGTGCACAGCATCACTTGGTACAGGTGTGCAAAAACAAAAGCCATGGACCTTTCTCTCGAAATGAAAGGGGAAGTTAGATAAGCAAAGGAATAAGGGTACAGAAACAACAAAAGAACTGTGGACTACGCAGGCTGGTGGCAAGGGTGATAAGATGAATAGAGATCCTATCATCAGATTTGGGATTTCTTTTTGTTAGTGATAGCCATTAAAGCAGAGATAATCACCAGAGGATTTTAGAAGGACCATGCTGCTTTAGTGACAAGTAGCAGGACAAGACTTAAAAGGTAAGAAAGATGAGTTTCGTTCTTCAGAAAAATTATTCTACACTTGTATCTCTCTTGCTGCTGTTGGACTATTCCTCTTCAGTAGAAATTGCATAATCTTTTAAGAATTGCTATTTAGTTTCCAAATACTTAAAACTTCCCAAGATATCTTAGCTTTATAATAAAATTCAACTGTCATCATGGCAGTTAGGCCACTGGGAATCAAAGTACTAGAATTTTAACATAATTTAAGACCTTGTTTATTAAATATCCAAATCAGTAAGGATGTTCTAACTCAGGAAGAGGGCAAGCAAAGCCCTTTAGATAAACAATGGAGCCTGAAACATTAGGGAAGTGGTTCTCAAACTTCCTAATGCCGTGACCCTTTAATACAGTTCATGTTATGGTGACCCCAACCATAAAATTATTTTTGTTGCTACTTCATCACTGTAATTGTGCTACCATTATGAATTGGGCAATCCCCAAAGGATTTGCAACCCACAGGTTGAGAATTGCTGCATTAGGGGATACAGGTCTGAAACCCACTGCTGTAATGAAAATATTGATGGTCTGATCATTTCTTGGGGGAAATGCAAACTGGTTTTCCTGTGAACTTTGCTTGTCTCATTGAGGGTCCTCTGACCAGTTTCAAAACCTGTCCATTATTTTCCCTGAACTTGCCACAGTTTAGAAGCCTTGGTGGCATAATGCTTGTGTTTTGGGCTGTGTTCTGCAGGGTCAGCAGTTTGAAACCACCAACCTGTAAAGGGTTAGTCTTGGAAACTCATAGGGCAGCACTCCCGTTCGATGTCACTATGGACTGACATTGACTCAATAGCAGTGAGTGTGGTTTGGCCACATAGTTTAAGGCATGTATCTTGTTTCTCATTGAATCTTTAAGCAGTTTGGAGGTACCCAAACCCACCGTTTCCTTCTATAGAAAAATTTTTATAATTTCTCAAATCAACTTGGTCTTCCTCTTTTGTTTAAACAGTGACAGACAACTATGCCCTCCTTTGTCTCTTGGCAATAATCAGAGAGCAAGATTTCTTTGTGTGACTGGAATCCTTTCAAATTTGTTTTGACTCAGAGCAGGGTCTATATTGCTTGACCCTGTATATGCACTAAACACTTGGATGTCAAGTTGGTAGATAGTACTGTCCGAGTCTTCTACATAGCCTTATTTTCTTTTTGTTCCATCAAACATAGATGAGTATTTAAATTTTGCTATAATTGTAGATTGTTGCATGGAGCGAGGTCAGGTGAGTAAGGTGCATCGGGCAAGAAGAGGCATGCTGCTTTTTACCAAAAACTGGAGCACTGAGATGGCTGCATGAACAGATGCATTGTCGTGATGGCAAAACCAGTCCATCTGCCACAAATCAGGCCTTTTTTTAATGACATACTGTTATGCAATCTTTTCAGAACCTCTACATAGAAACTTTGATTAACAGTCTGACCTGGTGGAATGAACTCCAAGTATACTATCCCCTCACGTCAGCAGAGCTGTTTTCCTTTTTTCTTTTTTTTTTTGGGGGGGGGAGGGATCCCCTCGTATAAGTTTCCAGTATCACACAAAACCTAGTAACAGATTTTCTTTCAAAACACAATTAAGAGGGGGAGGGGGGAAAAAAGGAACTGATACCAAGGACTCCAGTAGAAATTGTTTTGGAAATATTGATGGCAACATATGTACAAGTGTGCTTAATACCAGTGAATGATGGATTGTTATATGATTTGTAAGAGGCCCCAAATAAAATGACTAAAAAAAAAAGACAATTTGGAAAAGAAATGGCTTAGGTACAAGATGGGAGTTAATAATTTTCCAAGATTGTAATATTTCTTTTCTTGAACAAATAACTGAAAGAGAGAGTTTCTAAGACATTTTATTCGAAATTCTCCATCTAGGAGAACAGATACATAACAATGTTTACACATGCTTTAATAACTTATTTCACTGTACAATTTGCACTCAGTATAATAGTAAAATAAAACCAGCCAAATAAAATATTCAGTCAGCATTTAAATAAGAATCTATTTTGTAAAAAGCACTGAGTAAACTATGGGACTTTACAAGGTGCATTATCAAATTTTTCATGACTTGGAGCCAATGATAGTCATTTAGTTCAGTGTGTGTCTAATAAGTGAGCTTTATCTCCTCCTTTCTTATTTGTGATATGAAAGGCCATTATGTCCTTTTAGACTAGAATGTGTTCTTTTTGGATAAATGTAATAAATGTGGGCGTGAGGGCCATATCACTTTTATCCTTTTCTAAAGAGATATATTTGTTTCCCTTTTGCTTTGTTTCCAGTTTTAAAGAAAAATATTTCACTGTGTTTATGAACACAATGTCAACTCTGTGCACAGAGATGTGAATCTGTTATTTTACAGTCACCCAAACGGCCCACGCACACTAGGGACTAAAAGAAACACACCACTTAGTTCAGCCCAAGTAGCACCTGGTAGAGCAGCACTTTAGTCAAGTTCCTCCTGCTGATCCTCACCTGATGCAGGCAACAGTGAAAACACATGGGCAGGAACAGAAGAAAGAAGATAAGGAAATACTCTCTGTTGCTGAGAAAAGTTCTTCCTAGTTAGTTGCCTTTTACAATCTCAGTTACCATGATTGCCAAATAGGGTACAAGGTAAGAATGCGCACGAGGAAAACAAGATGAACACGACTGACCAGTGAAATCTAAGCTTCTGCCAAGTAATTCAAAATTTACGAAGGAAAAAAGGCACAGGAGGTGCACAGTTCAGTTTGGCTCAAAACTAATAAAAATGAACTTAGAAAGTGGCAACAACTATTGAAACATAAAATTTACTTCCCTATATTTTCTTTGACAGAGCACAACTCTACAGGAAAAGTAACAATCACAGCAACAAAACAAATAAAATCCACGCAAACAAAATCAGCAGACTGTGGTGCACCATCAAGGGCTATACACACGGTGGGACATTCCTAGACAGGCTGAATCCTAAGGACCAAGGCTACAATATAGGGTCAAAGGACGCCCTTCAATTATATGGCTGCTTGACCGACATTTTCTTTCCAAAGCTTAACCTAAGTTCAAACCAACTACCTTTCGGTAGAACAGTAGATGATTCAGATGCACTACTTTTCAGTTGATTGTAAAAGTCTTACAGCAAAATCATACCCCAAGGAACACTAAAAGATGGAACAGCAACTGGCATTATTTTATCTAGTTAAAGCTAACTCAGATTTCACCTTGATACATGTAAACCATGAATGATACGATTCAAAAGAACAGTAGTTGTGGTCAAGTTTATATTCTATTACATCTTTAAAAGACAACAATCATTTTTATAATTGTAAACATGAAGTCTATTTCCCAAGACAGTTCACCCAAGAAGCAAGGCATCCATCCTTGGGAGGCGGCTGGCATTCCCTTAGAGATTGCTTGTGGCAACTGTAGTGTAAATACCGGTGAACCACGGCTGAGTGGGGCTCTGAGGGCATGAGCAGAGGAAATGTTTCCCACACCCCTGAGCTATTTTCAACAGCAATCACGGTTGGGATGAAACAGAATTAACAAGCTGCACATTTAAAAAGTCATTAGAACATCCCGTTCTTGTACACTAGTGTAGAAAGGTCTCCCAAAGATAAACGAGTGGAGGCCTGGTTTAATTTTTTCAGCAAGAGCCATTATTATGTTAAGATCGCCCTCTGCTGTTAAATCAAGGTCTATCTTCAGGTTCCGAAGAGATTTAAAGGGCTTTTTTCCTTTCTGCCTATAATTTAAAAACAACAAACAAAAATTAGCAGAGAATGTACAAATGGAACAAAGCCAAACACAACATGTGAGGTTTTCTTCTACGTAGGAGTTTTACTTACGTATCATCTTCTATATACTTGATTAACGTCAAGGCTTTTCTGTGAAGGACGAGCAGGAACTGCGCGAGGAAAGTACTCCTGAGTGATAAACCAGGTTTCAAATGAAAGACCTATGGGGAAGGGAACCATTTTCATAAATAACGTTCTCCCACTCCGATGCCAGAAAGCGTTTCTGTCAGTGTTAATTAACAGCGCCTGTCCAAGAATACACATTAGAGCAGTTTTCCTCAACCATTTCTATAGATTCCAGCTCACATAGCCATGTGTAATGATGGTGGGTCTGGAAGCCACCTGACAAGACATTCAAATAATGCCTCTTACCTCATCAATTATCCACGCTCATGCTAAACATCAGGATCTATGTACCGGTAACTTCTCTTGATATTAGCTAACGTTGAACCTCCCACACGCTGATTCATGTCTCGATACCATGGTTTGTGAGACACTCATGTCCTATACTCTAGGTGGAACATGTGTCAGGGTAAAGGGGTGGGGTGGGAGGATTTGCATTTCAGCTTGAAAGCATGGAATGCAAGCAGCACATTGGATTATTCTTGAATTCTGCAATATGTCAGAAACCACTCTGACCTGGAGCCAAAGTTTCTTGGTAACATAAGGATCTCATTATTCCAAAGCCATATCAATAACTCAGTTTCCTGGCTTAGTCCCCAGAATGGTATTATGACAAGGCTCTGGTATATAAGGAAGTAAGTCCCATATAAATTATGATTTTTCTTCATATACATAGTTAAAAGTCGATTTTTTTCAAAAGAAGACAATGAAGATGCTATTCTTTAAAGGGAAGTGATGCTATTTTTCACAAAGACAGTTTGCTCCATTACAGTAAATATGAAACCCAAAAAAATCACACTTGCTGCCTGCCATTGAGTTGATGTGACTCCTCTCGGCCCTACAGGACAGAGCAGAACTTTCCCACAGGGTTTCCATAATCTTTATGAAAGCAGAACGCCGCATCTTTCTTTTGCCACAGAGTGAGTGGCAGGTTGAACTCACCAACCTTTAGGTTAGTAGCTGAACCCTTTGACCACAGTACGGACCAGGGCACTGATAAATACCGCATCTCCCACAAAAAAATACAAAACAAAACACCAACCAACCAAAACTCTTTAGTTACAAGTTAGAGCTTGAAATAAACATATATGACCTGGGGAAATACTGCATCTTTGAATGTTAATATATAAGGTATTCCATTATATTAGTAATTCGTGAGAAAAATGAATTCTCTACTTTAGAAAGAGCAGAACTGCGAAAGAACTGGATGATGCTAGACCTACCGTAGGCACAGGAAGATCTGTGAGAAAAGAAATCCCCCCACACTATCCACTCTCCTGGTCCCACATTTACCTGGTCTAGGAAGGCTCGTACTAAAGTGTCTCTGTGTAAAACATCTTGAAAAATATTCCTAGGAAGGAAAACAAAGTCAAAGTGTTGAAACGGTTAGATAATGCTACTTTCCAACAAGTCCTCATCTCAGCCAATACATTAAATAAAAATTAAGAAAGCGCGCCTTAGGCAATTAACAAGTATAATTGCTATATTAAAAAATGTTGACAACAAAGCAATAAAAATAAACACCATCACAACTACCTAGAAAAAGTGTTAACTACCTTGGCAATGATCAGAGTGAGAATTCAAGACATAATTCACACTTGGTATAAGGTGTGGGCTAACAGAGCCCCTAGGACAGAATAGCTGGGGAAACAAACTTTTAAAGTAATGTTTTTCTCCCCGCCAGCCCCCAACCCTACCTGCTTCCCCCCACCTTACTTTTTCACTTCCCCTGCCTTTCACTTTCTTGCAGAATTTCCTGGAATGCTAAATTATACTCAGGTCACAGGGGCGATAAAAGCATTTAATAGGTAAAGTAAGAGATCTACAATGGAGGAGAAGGCCTGGAAATGCTGGGATTGTTCTGTAAGGTCAAGAGTGGCAAGCAAAGAGGCTGGGCATGCATGTAGAAACGAAGGAAACCCCAAAACTAAACTCACTGCCACTGAGTCAATTCAGACTCATAGCGACCCTACAGGACAGGTTAAGACTGCCCATGCCGGTTTCTGAAGCTGTAACTCTTTATGGGAGTACAAGTAGCAGTTGGTGGTTTTGAGCTGCTCACCTTGTGGTTAGCAACCCAACGTGTAAGCACTATGCCATCAGGGCTCACTACTTCAAATATCCTTTTAATAATGGCTATGCCAAACTATGGAAGAAGGAAACTGAGAGAGAAAAACCAGCATTTTATAAAGACTGGCTGTGTCACGGGTAGGCAACGTAGGCCCTGACAGCACTCCTCTGTCCTGGGAGAGAAAATAAGGTTATTTTAGTCCAGGGTTTTGAATATACCTTCTTCACAGAATGAATGTCTTGCTCCTATGTAAGCTGCATAAAACAAACTTTATAAAGCCAATTATTTCTAGTAACTAAATGATCATTTATTAAGCAGTGATGGAAATAATATAAAACTTAAATGGGAGATAAATAATATTTAAATGGGAGGTAATTTAAGACTAAATGATACTGCTTAAAACACACTAGAGACAATTGAGTGACTGAAAATAATCTATAGGAAATTTTCTGTTCTTGACAAAATTTAAAATAATTTATGGACAATTTTCTGTGGAAGCAAACATTTTAAATTCATGACATTATTATTGTCAAATCAAGAAAACAGGAACAACTGGCTGAAAGAGAAAGCAATATGCTGAAAGCATATATTTTTGCTAAAAAATAAATGAAAATACCAAATGATTGCAAATGCATTTTAAGTTCACCAAAAAGCTCCCCAAACCAAAGGGGAAGCACAGATGAACTTTGACAAATTACACACCAGTACCAAAATTACCAGTCTGAAAATGGAAGGACCTAGAGTTCCAATTTTGACCAGATTATTTTCTAGTCCAATGTCTCTAAAACTTTCTATGATAGCAACAAGGAACATTGCAGGCTGAGAAAACATGGACCCTAAATTCTGTCAGTCTTGCTTCTGGACCCAGAGACACGCGATGCTGGGGAATCTCTGGGACACGCTGTATGTTTGGGCAATACCTTCTGTATAGCTAATGGTACTCCACGTCTCTGTTGTTTCAGCCCAAAACTTTCCAAGAGAAACCCAGGACAAGGTCACTTGTGCCAACTTTACTGCTGGCTTATACACTTAAACGGGGTCAGTGTAGTTAACATTTTCGGAGCACATTTTATGTTCCACCTAATTAAAGAAAGCCATCATATTTACTACAATTCTTTTCTGAATTCAGAACATTTAAGTGTTTTCTTGAAGTTTTAGAATTACAGATTTATCATGCCTTTAAAAAAATTCCAACAGAGAAGGTCCTCATGGAACATTTTATTATCATTACTTTTGCTCTCTAATTTAATGACTAGACACAGTGGTAGAACATGAATAGTGCAAAATAAAATACAAACAAAAAGAAAGCTCTACTTATTCTGACAACTTTTGTTGTTTTTGCATTTATAAGTCAGGAAAAAAAGACATAGAACTACTCTGGTTAAGAAGACCGTTCAATAGCTGTATACACACAACTATAAATAATATAAAAGCTAGGGCTGCCTGGTTGACTGCTTTTAGTCTCAGCACCTAGGACAGTGCCTCGATCTTCAACAGACATTTGTTAAATGCATTCTTAAACATTTATCTTAAGGTGGGGCTCTAGCCTAACTTAGAGGAAACACAATTATATTAGGAAAGATGAACATTAAAGAAAACATGCTTCACTAATCAAATGTTTCTTCATGCACAATTCTGCTAGTAACATTTCTTTCCCTTCACACACAGGCTCGTTTTATTTTTACTCCTCCATCACAGTTTCATAGCATTACTTAACAACTGTTTCAAAAGGCAGAGCATTACATACAAATCAGGGGTGAAGCTTTCGTCTGTGTAGATGATGGTATCCTGAGCCATGTCTTCCTCTGACGTGGCTCTCCAAAATGCTGTCAGTTCCGATCTCATGTATCTACGCTGATTATAAATATGCTCATGACACGGTGGCATCTGCTTGACAGCATTGACGTCCACGTCTATGTGTGTGGTGGGGTATGGGGCGTACATGACTTGTCGGAAAGGTAGCACAAAACTTCCAGTTGAATCCTGTGAGAATGAAAGGCAGAGTATTTTTCTCTATAGGCAAAAATACATGAAGAACTGCTTGTAAGTTCAGAAATAAAATAACAACAATAAAAACTAAACAAACTGGCTTTGATATAGTAAATTCATCCCTAGAAGTTTATGCTAAGATACTAATCATGCTTCTGTATATAGACAGAACTGCTCATGGCAGCCCTGGTTTTAATAGCAAAATAAAATGTCAACCTAAGCACCTAAAAGAAAAGTGATTAAACAAAAGAATGGTTTACGGTTTAGCATCTAGAAAATGATGTGGCTGCTGCAGATGTGCTGACACTGGTAGGAAAAGCAGGCTAGATCCCAAATGAAATTGGCCTACATGCCCCCCCCTCCCTGTTTCAGGAAAAAAAAAATTACCCATTTACACTCTAGCAATTAAAAATTTTGTACTACAGTCCACCATCCAGGACAACATATAGGTCTATGCTTTTGCAGCCACTCTGTATCGTTGCAATGTCCCCCCAGGGGCAGGTATTGTCCACAATGGAAACAATGATGCGGAGTACAATCTGATTCTGCTAGGCATGAAGAATATAAGAAATGCATACATTACACTGGAAAGAGGCCAGAAGTTAGATGTGAAATATTAACAGAGGTTAGTCACTGGATTATGTGACTGCAAGTGACTTTTTTTCTTCGTCATTATTAATAGGCTTTTTATACATCTCAATGAATATGAATCTTTATAATAATTTTAAAACGTTTTCAAGGTCCAGCTGGATGGGCAGTAACCACATAACAAGTACCTACTGATCGGAGCTGCTGTGCTATGGATAGAAAGCCGGAGGCTAGTCCTAACTTTTCACTTTTCTACATAAAGATGTGATAATTATTGTTGTAAATAAATCTTTTCTATATATAGTTGTTTTCTTTGAAGGAATGTCCAGATGTAGATATACTAGGTTAAAGACTTTGTAAGTTTAAAGCTGTTGCCTATTATGTTATTGTATTTCCTAGGAGGGCATACAATTTATTTCATGGAGAACTCTCAACAAGTATTTTTCATTAAGTCACTTTACAAGTTTTCTCTATGCATCTGGTATAGGTCCATCAGGCTAAAACTACATAATTAAAGGAGATGTTGCTGAGGAAATAAAAACATTGCAGATTCTACTATGTTTTCAAATGAAGTCCTAATTTTCAGTATGTATAATTCAAACTAGGAAGGTATTTGCCTGAACTAGTTACTGTCATATTTAAATACTATTATTCTGAGCTCAGCATGAATGTTACTGCAAATATCAGAGCGAGATGTAATTCTGGTTTGCATCCGTTTTTCTTCTCATTTTGCCATGCTCACATCCTTAAGAAAGTATCCACTAGGGGAGCATCAGATAGCATTAGCAAAGGCGCCTCTTCATGTGTGCATGAGTGCTTTTTCATGGCTGTAACCGAAATACCCAAAACAGATTCAATAAAGGCACCGCTTTCCTTCTCTTCAATTATTAAAAGTAGTTAATTTAGTTTATCTGTCTTGATCCTTGAAAAGAGGCAATTACATGAGAGAAAAGTGTAAAGTATTTTAGTGTATATGTAAGCATATCGATATCTATATTTCTATACTGTTTTTAGGAGTCAGTCACTTCTCAGTCAGATGACCCCATGATTAGTAGAACCAAACACTTCCAGCCCTGCTCTGAGTGTGTATACACATATATGTATGCACAGACATATACTCATATATATATAAACCGTACAAATCCTGTATCCTTTTACAAGACAGAAAGCAGTTTAAATTTCTTTTTCCAATAAACGAATATGACACATAAATGTACAATGGTAACACCAAGATTCAAAACTGTTCAGTAAAAAGAAATGTTCCCATTTCAGATGGGCAATTTGATGTACACATGCATTTAAGAAGAGAAGAAAAATCAAATCCTGAGGCTCTTAGACAGCTATAGGCAACCAAATGGGGTTTCACTGCTCCTGACTATACATTGATAAGGCACATCCTCTATACCCAAGCCTGTGCCGTCGGATGAAGGTGATCAGCCTGTGGGTCCAGAAACCTCATGCCAACATTTCAAATATATTTGAAGAGTCTCAACAATGACTTAACAACACTGGTTTCTTTGGGATCGATGTGACCGCTACCTTTAGCAGGCCTTGAACAAACAGCCCTGACTCATACTTAAACGATGACTCGGCGTCACACAATCTGGAGCATTTTCTTTCTGCTGGAGTCAGAAACAGGCACAATGTCCGTACTATCTGGAAAATAAAAGATGTCAGCATTAAAATATGATGCAGAGAAAGCCATGACTTCTCTAAGAACTCTGAACAGAAGTCTCAAGTGTTTTCGTCCATACAATATACCCTAAGAACCAAGTCTCCTCGATGGCTCACGGGCTCAACAGCTGCTCCTTAAAACTGGGATTCTACAGTCAAATAATGATGGGCAACTTTCTAGGTTTACTGTGTGATACCTCCATCTGTTTAGCATTTGAATATGGATTGTACAGTCCAAAAGAATAATATATTAGCTAAAATTTTCCACTTTATTTGACCTTAGAACCTTTATTTCAGTGAGAAATGATGACCTAATCCAGTCATTAGTTGTAACTCCAAACAGACTATTTTAGGCAAACAACCTAAATGCAGTTAAACTAGGTAGAATTAGTTTCTGCTTACGAGTAACAGTTCCTACGTGAGATTTTATTATGATGAATATCAAAAAGGGTGCAAATCTCTAATAAATGAGCAATAATTCTACCAAATTGGATTTAAGATAAGCAGACCATGGATTAGGCCACAGGGGTCCTTAAACTGCGGACCGCCGAGGACATTTATCTGGCCCACCGGGTTTTTTACTTTAAAATAAGATATGTGCAGTGTGCATAGGAATTTGTTCGGTTTTTTTATTTTAACTATAGTCTGGCCCTCGAACGGTCTGAGGGACAGTGAACTGGCCCCCTGTTTAAAAAGTTTGAGGACCCCTGGGTTAGGGTTTACAAACGTCTGATTCTAAGACAATTTGATTTCTTGTAGCTACGTTGGAATTCTGACTATATCTAAAGAGTGAATATGTTAAAGCAGTGGTTTTTAACTGAGAGCAGTAGCAACCAGTTTCTCAAATTGATAACAGGAAAGCTAATCTAATGCACAGGGTAGGAATGAAAGCAACCAGCCAGCCTCTCTCCCCATATTCAGCTGAAGAAAAAGTCCCTCCAGGAACTCTGAGGCTTGGAGAGAAGATGCCTCTTTGGATAACAGATACAACAATAAGATCACTGTTCACAGGGTGGAATACAAGGATAGAGGTATAGCAACATCTCTTCACAGTACATATTTCTAAATGGCTATATAAAAAATAGAATTTTGGCAAATCAAATCTCATCTAAGAACACAGGGTAGCTTATAGGAAAAAAAATGAAGAGTTATCTTTCTAACTTTTTTGTAAAGAAAAACCATCCGTAGTCAATAAAGTAATCCTCAACATATTTCCTGAATAAATAAAAAACTGAAATTTTTTGTTCTTGAATTTCAACTCACAGTGCCTCCCTGTGAAGGAGCAGACCCCATGAAAGGGTTTTCTAGGCTACCTGCAGTCTCTATGATCGATATAGGCAGGAGAACCCTCGGCCTTTCTCCCACAGAACTGCTAGGGAAGTTCCAAGCCCCAGCCTGCCAGGTATCAGCCAAGCCCATAACCATCGCATCGCATCGCATCTCCATGGACCCTTTGTAAAATTAGGTTGAGCTGAATTTATAGACTTGAGGACCCTGGTGGCACCAATAGTTAAGTGCCCAGTTGATAACCAAAAGGTTGACAATTCAAACTCACGCAGGGGCTTGACAGCAGAAAGATCTGGTAATCCACTCTGATGGAAAACACACAACACACACACACACACACACACAATTCAAACTCACCCAGAGGCTTGACAGCAGAAAGACCTGGTAATCCACTCTGATGGAAAACACACACCACACACACACACACACACACACACACACACACACACACACGGGCCTGTTGTAACTGTCACACAGGCTCAGTGAGTGAGAACTGACTCAGTAGCACCTGACAATAGCAATAATGCATCCATAGATAGATATTCTGACACTATATATTAGTGGTCAGTGAGGTAACGTGCAAAATTCTTTAAGTTTACTTGGAAACACTATTCATCAATTCTTAATTCACATAACACTGAAAGAAGCGGTCACAAATGTTAATATAATATAAAATCCATCTCCTGAAAAGAGATGGAGTTTGGGGGGAAATCAAGAGAATGGAAGTCAAGATGACTGATCAAATTACATTTTCTTTGGAAAGACTACAAACACCGTAAGTGCCGGTGGTGCAGTGGTCAACGAGCTTGGTTGTTAACCATGCGGTCAATAGTTAGAGCCCACCAACCGCTCCTGTGCAATCTGCTTCTGGAAACTTTACAGGAAAGCTCTGCTCTGTCATCCAGATCGCTGTAATCATGACTGTCTCAGCGGTAGTGGGATGGGTAGTAACAAAATCACATGGTTATCTTCATATTTATTAACGATAACAAGGGAACAGAAGACAAATATATTTTGCAATGTCTTCAAGACCAGTTATATACAAGCTATCAAAACAAAACTGAAAAATAGCAACATTCAAACAGTTTATTTCACAGGATGTCACAACAATCTGGTCAGATTAAATTGCCTTTCTGGACTATTAAATCATCTTAATTGCTTCCTAACCTTTAAATATCACCACTCATCTGTCAGTTTGTTCTACTGCAGTGGCTTACGAGTTGCTGTGAGACTGGAAACATGCCACTGGTATCTCCATCACCAGCAGGGTCACCCACGGTGAACAGGCTTCACTGGAGCTTCCAGACTAAGAACAGATGCAAAAGAAGGAATAGGCTGTCCACTTCTAAAAGACTAGACACTGAAAACCTTATGTAGAGCAGCAGAACACTGTCAGATAAACTTCTGAAGATAAGCCCCTCAGGTTAGAGTACTCAAACTATGACTATATGGTTTTACGATCAGCAAAGGTGTGTGCCAGGCTTATATCCATTCACCACCATATGTAGAGCAAAGTCTAAGCAGCTGGACTGTATCAAGAAGAATGTGGTATCAGGATTGGAGAAAGACTGTGGATGCTATAACCTTGCTTGCTGGAAGCCGAGAAGATTTGAAGCACTTACTGATAAAGTTCAAAGACTACTGCTTTCAGTACAGACCATTAAATTACAATTTATGATATGGTAGCAGTACCTAAAAGTAAGATGATTTACAGGATTAGAAAAATAAATTACCTTATTTACTTTCTCAGCACTACTACCTACGACGACGGAGCAGCCACATGTTTGCAGGTGTGAGCTGATAGCACTGTAAATTAAAGAGAAATGATGAAAAACATTAATTACTAAATAATTTCACACACCAAAAATAATAAATAAACACAAGTATACTCCAGATAACTGAGGACAGCCTTGCACTTCATGTTTCCTTGTCACATCCTGTTAATTTCTCACAATATTTCCAACTTTTTCAGAATGCTATTGAACATTTCGTAGACTAGAGTGTGAATACAACTTTTATTATGTACCGAGAAACCAAGGGTGCATGGGATTCACCTAATTGTGACGGTTACTTTACTGCTGTGATCTGTAAGTGAACCTGAAGCTGAGTTATAACACAGGGACCAGTATGTAGGCACTCAATAATTATTGGGTATTACTGTTAACATTATCCTTTTTCTTAGTTGAAAGGTTTCTTACATGTCTGTTTCAATGAAAATTACATAAAAAACCAGAACCAAACAGGGGACCAAGATGTCTTGGCTGGGTACTACTGGAACTCAGCTTGTTTAAATATTACGTAATAGAATAGCAAATATGTCACAAATATGAGTGAAAAACAAACCAACACAAAGCTAAGCAACTGTTCAAATATGGAATGCCTTCCTCAGAATAATCTGGGTTATATTTTCTCTTTTCAAAAACCTGGTCACTGGTAAGCATAAAGTTAATATCTGCTTCATCCAGCTTTTATGAGAAGATCCAAAACTCTTACTTGAGAAGGAAGCCTTCATGACAACTGTCACCGATATCATCATCATTGAGCACTGTATCAGCTATCTAAAACACACCAAAAGAAAGACAATCAATCTGGCTACAACATCAAAATAACACTTCCAGCTGTGTAAAGTCTAAGTCCAATAAAACTCATTCTCCTCATTTCTGAGCATCAAAAGTCTCCATAAAAAATCTGTGTACACTACCATATGCTTTCAGAAGAACAAATGTGAAAGCTGGTCTGGCAAGTCAAGCAACAATTTTTACAAGAACAACTTCCTCTTCTTATTAGAACCAGGAGACAAGTCTTGATGACAAAGTCAGAGTACAACATGAATAGTCTCTTAAAGACATCGCTACATATGCATAGCACCTGATTTTAAATGTCTGCAGTAAATGGTTGAGGGAACTGAATTCGTGGATATAAGTAAATTTCCATTAACAGCTACTGATTAGCACACTGCTTTGTTATAAAAAGTACCACAGTAAATATTGATTGCTTCTGTAAGATCTGGAATTCTCTCACTTCTAAGAAACACAGTAGTGATGAAATGAGCCAAATGCATGTAACTTTACCCTAACTATTGCTGATTAAAAAGAACTATGTGCTTTTTCTTAAGGGGGTTATAATTTATATAAACAATGTATATGACATAACAATACATTATGCTAAATTGTGTGTTACTAATATAAATAATAATAATATACCTAAAGGGAATGGATAAGGGGTATACTTATTTCTATTTAAGAACATAAATAAGAACTTACATCTATTTCTGCAGAAACACAGTGTGATTTCATAGATGAAAGGAGTTCCATTACAGGAATTACTTCCCCAGTAAGCATTGGGATAATACTCTGACCCTGCATAAAAAATAAGATGGAGCAGATCATACAATATAGGATAAGGTGGCCAATAAACCAATTAAAAATGAAAGCAAAGAATAACACTCTTTGCTAGAAATACTTGGTAATTTGTTCAAACACTGGCTCAAATAAGTGTAATCTCCCAAATAATTTCTAATGAATCCACATAGCCTTTCAATCTTGCTTTCAGTCTTCTAAGAATAATTTTCTTTAGTCAGCACAGAATCACTGCATGATCACTTACTATTATGTGCAGAAATTAAATCACGATGCTAAATTTTAAAATTCATCAGTCTTTGAAATCTTAAATAGAAAAACCCTGGTTAATTAAAGGTCATCAGTGCATTTAACATTCAAAAATGAGGAAAGCCAAGTTTAGAAAGTCTTTGAAATCCTTAGCAAATAACTTAGTGCTAAAGCATGAATCAGTACTCAACCTCCACATTTAAACAGGGTGCAAACTACCCAAATGCAAATAAACTTCATTCCTTATGAAGAAGCAATAAAACTGAAAAATGTCCAAGTTCTTTCATCTTATTACATCTCAAAAATATAATTTTGAAATCTGTAGTTTCTAAAAATCAAACTGAAAGCTCAATATAGAACAACACAAATGCTACAGTGAGCCTTCACTTACTCACCACCTCAGTGTTTTGACAAAGTTAAACATATAAATCTTTTTTTTTACTTGAAGGTAATTTATTGACAGAAAATAATTTGAGGAGTCCTGTTCACAGCCAGCGACCATGGCGACCCCCCTTCCTGCGAGTGCTGTCGGAGGGGATGGGGGTGACATCCTCAATCTGCCCAATCTTCATCCCTGAGCCGGCAAGGGATTGGAGCACGGACTGGGCCCCAGGACCAGGGGTCTCGGTCCGGTTTCCTCCAGTGGCTCGGAGTTCGATGTGCAGGGCGTGATGACCAGCTCCTTGCACCTCTGGTCCACATCCTGGGCAGCCAACATGGTGGCGTAGGGCCAAGATTCATCTCGATCAGCCTTCACCTTCATCCCACCTGTCGCTCGACAGATGGTTTCCTTGTCAGAGAGGTCAGTGACATGGACAAAAGTGTCATTGAAGGAGGCAAAAATGCAGCAGACACCGAAGATGGTCTCTCCTTCAGCCACCTGAGGGCGGAGGCTGATGTCCTGCTCTTCCTTCTTTCCCTTCCCCTTGCCAGGTGCCATGTCTGCACGTCTTCTCTGGACTCCGACACCGGAAAGAGAGGTTGGGATTAGGTAGGTCCTAAACATATAAATCTTGAGTGATATAGAAGAAATTGTCAAATGTCTACTTTTTAGCTAAAGCTATTTTAAAACCACATATTGTCTAAGATCAACAAGTTTTTTCCTCCATTTCAAGAAACCATTTAGCAATACTCTTCACATCCATCTTCAACATTAAAATTTGTTATCACTAGTGACTTTTCTTTTTTTCTGATAACCAAATCCAATTTTCTGCAGACTTTTATCGTGTATGTAGCTTGTAAATTTAAATGTTATGCTGTTTCTAGACATTGTATTCTAAGTCACAAGCCTGTCTGCATAATATTGTAGTTAGGTGCTGTTAAGTAGGTATCAACTCAGATGAACCTATGTACAGTGAACCCTCGTTTATCGCGGTTAATCGGTTCTAGACCCCACCGTGATAAATGAAATTCCGCGAAGTAGGATTCCTTATTTGTAAATCAAATATTTTCATAGTTAGAGCATAGAGGACATGAAAAAACACCCTTTAGTCACCATTACACTCGTATTACCCAATTTATTAAACGAAAAAGGGAAAATGCAGTAAAACATTTTGGACATTACAATTATCATTTATTATTTATTATATTATGAAGTACAACGGATGGAGCGAACGGAAGACTCATTCAAGTCGAAATGGCGTGCAACCTCCACGATTTTCTTGCCATCTTTGATCATATCCAAAAGTTTTACCTTTTCCTGGATGGTGAGCATCTTCCTCTGGCGCTTATTATTGTCAGAAGGCTTAGAAAAAGCAGCTCGTTTAGGAGCCATCATAGGGCTTAGATAAAATTTCTTAAAAATCGCAAACAATTACAGTACACTGTACAAAAGCAAAAATGCATCTGATACGTAGCTCCGATATGTAGCGATGCAGACAGAAGCGTGTACAGTATGAGCCAATCAGTGGCAGTAATGACAGAGCATGCGCTGTTACGCAAAAACCGCGATAGAGTGAAGCCGCGGAAGTCGAAGCGCGAAGTGGCGAGGGTTCACTGTATAGTCCTGCCTCATCCTCGCAATATTGATATGCTTAAGCCCAAGCTTATAACCACTGCATCAATTCACCTTCTTGAGAGTCTATCACTTTTTTGTTGCTAACTTCCCACTTAACGAAGCACGGCATGCTTTTCTAAGGACTAGTAGTAACATGACCAAACTACACGAGAGAAAGTTTCTCCATTATCCCTTTCAGAAAAATTCAGGTTTTACTTCTTCCAAGAAAGATCTGTTCACTCTCCTGGTAATCCATGGTGTATTCAATTATTTTTCACCAGCACCATAATTCAATGGCATACATTCTTCTTCCAGCTTTTGCACACGAAGTGACTGAAAAATGCTATGACTTAAGTCACGCACATCTTAGTCTTCAAAATGACATCTTTGCTTTCCAACACTTTTAAAAGGTCTTTTGCAGATTTGCTCAATGCAAGATGGCAACTGACCTCTTGAATGCTGTTTTCATGGGAATTAACTGTCAACCAAAGTAAAATGAACCCTTTGACGTCAATCTTTTCTTCGTTTATCATGCATAACGCTGCTTAATGGTACAGCTGTAAAGATTCTGTTGCGGTGCAGTCTATTTTGAAGGTTACAGTTTTTGATTTTTACCAGCAAGTGCTTCAAGTCTTTTCCACTTTCAGCAAGCAAGATCATGTCATTTGCATATCAGATTGCTAATATGCCTTCCTCCCAAATGATGCCCTGTTCTCCATGTAACCCAGCTTCTCAAATGTGCTCAGCATATAGATCGAATAAGTACAGTAAAAATATACAATTCTGACACACATTTTCTAATTCCCCTTGATCTGGTTTGACTTTGAATGACTGCCTCTTGGTCCATGTACAGGTTTTACCTGAGCACAATGAAGTATTCTGGAAATCTGATTTTTTCTCAATGTTAGCCATAGTTTGTTATGATCCACAAAGTTGAATGCCTTTGCATAGTTAATAAAACACAAGTAAATATCACGCATTCTCTACTTTCACCCATGATCATCAGCAATGATATCTCTTGATTCAATTCCTCTTCTTAGTCTAGTTTGGATTTCTGGAAAATTCCCTATAGGTGACTGCTGCAATTGTTCTCGAATGATCTGCAGAAAAATGTTATTTGTGTATAATATTAATTATATTGTTTGATAATCTCCACATACTGCTGATCACCTTTCTCTGGAATGGGCACAAATATGAATCTCTTCCAATCAGATGGCCAGAAAGCTGTCTTCCAAATTACTTGGTATAGACAAGCAGGACCTTCCACAACACAATTACTCATTGCTTTGCTTTAAAAAATAATCTTTGAGGTGCTTGTTTACAATGATATCCAACACATATAATCCAATAACAAGTATTTAAATCTGCTTTCTTGCAAAGTGATTTTAAAAGATGACATCCCAAACTAGCCCTGAATGACTTCTTTTCTTTGAGCACAACACGGCATACTGAAGCAGTGCTGACATTCAATAAAGCTGTTGTAAGTACATGTGAGAGATTCGCAAGAACTTAGGAGAAAGAATAATTATAGGAAAATAAACAAACCTCAAACCCATTGCTGTTGAGTCTTTCCCAATACACAAGGATCTTTTAGGACAGAGTAAAACTGCCCATAGGGTTTCCAAGGGTCTAAATCTTCATAGAAGCGGACTGTCTCATCTTTCAACCATATAGCCGATGGTGGGTTCAAACTACTGACCCCTGGTTAACAATTGAACCTGCCAGTGTGCCATCAGGGCTCCTTTTGGGGAAAAATACCTCCCTTAATATTTAGGTGCATAGGGTACTTCAAACATGTTATCTTAGTCAATGGACTTCCTCATTAAAGCTCAACAAAAAAGTCCAACAAGGCTGAAAATTCTCCAAGTTTCTTTTCCTCTTTGGATTTCTCCATCAAAAGTGGGTGAAGGGAGACGTTGGACAGGGCAAGATATGACAAAATAATAATTTATAAATTATCAAGGGCTCGTGAGGGAGGGGGGAGCGGGGAGGGATGGGAAAAGTGAGGACCTAATGCTGGGGGCTTAAGTGGAGAGGAAATGTTTTGAGAATGATGAGGGCAATGAATGTACAAATGCGCTTTACACAATTGATGTATGTATGGATTGTGATAAGAGTTGTATGAGCCCCTAATAAAATGATTTTTAAAAATTCTGGAATGTTTGTTCTAAATATATTTTGTTCAAGACATAGATGGGGTAGGATAACATTTTTAAGAATCCTTAAAGAGAGATAATTACAAACAAATTCATTAACAAGTCGATTTTATGAGTCTGTTTCTGGTTTGGGAGAAAAAAAAAATCCCAATAAAAGCAGAATCGTATTAGGCCCTAACTATCCATTTTGAGATAATTCGACTTTATGAGAGAGCTTCAAAAGTTCCATTATCTTTTAATTCCACTTTTCCAAGAACTTTTTTAAAGCCAGACCATAATACGCTATAATCTCCAGGTATTAGTACCTACCTAGCTAGGGAGAATTGAGTCATTCCATCTCTGGGGACCCTGCAGGGATGGAGGTGACATAGACTTATCTATCTGCAGAGATATATATTGACATAGATGTGAATCCAAGTAAAGGCCTGGCTTCTCCTGACAAGGGAAAATCCTTTCTTACATATTTTACTTTCCGCAGATTTAACTTCTCTGGCCTAAAAAAATCTATTTCCAAAAGTATAAACATATCAGTTTTGTGAAGGGCAACATTTTTCAGGGCTCTGTATTTTCCTTGCTTATGCCCCTGGATTTTTGAAGAGTTATTTAAATTCTTGTAATCTCAGTCATGGTATGTAGAACCTGATAAAAGGTTGGCCAGTCCCATCAGCCTGGAGTTTTACAGAAAGGATCAGTCAGGGTGGAGAGCCAAGGGTAACAGGAGGAAATGAATACTCTTATTCCACTGGCAATTTCACATCCAGAGAACTTCTCTGTCCTACAGACAGTTTGCCCTTAATTTACACAAGGAAAGTCATAGTTCTATTATTGTGCTTCTTCAACAATGGGGCTGGCTTCTCAGGTATTCAATGTCCTGGGATAAACAAGACAATGTTTGCTTAAAAATGTATTGAAAACCCAGGAGATAATGGGGAGATGGCAGCACACCATTAGAAAATTATTACAATATATAAAATGTAACTTGCATGAAGACTTCAAGGAAGTGTTATGCTTAGGGATATGGCTGCACCTCCAGAAGGCTAAGGGTGGACCACCTTTCCTGTTATAGCGACCTCTGTGGACATGTTTGAAAAGTAATCCCTCAAAGAAAGTCTCATATACAGTTCTTGATTTTTACTGTAAGTTATCCAAAACTTTTGTCTGAGCACAGAAAACAGGTAGCAAAACATTTTGATTTGTAGATTTAATTTATTTACATGAATAAAAAAGATTGATTTACTTTTCTAGAATAAGACACGGCACCCTGATGACACAGTGGTTAACGTGCTCGATTGTTACTTGGAAGGCTGGGCGTTTGGACCCACCAGCGGCTCCACAGGAGAAAGCTGTGGCAATCTGCTTTGTGAACATACGCAGCCTTAGAAGCCTTATGGGGCTGTTTTTCTCTGTCCCATGGGGCTTCTATGAGTCAGCTTGATGGCAATGTTTTTGTTTTAAACAAGGCTAAGATGTGGAGAATTTCATTCAGTTTAGCCTGTACATCTCCAAAAAGGTTCTGTTCATCGCCAGGCTCACTCTGTCTAAGGAATGTCTTCTAGGGCTTAATAAAAGGCACCACAAGCTTTTCATAGTTATAGGCAGTAGAAACCGTTCATATTTAACAGAATGAATGCACAATGCACTTTACCTGATCTTCCATTCTTTCTGTGCCTTCTAAGACAATCTTCTGAACATTTTCTTGCCTTTCCTGAGTAAGAGAGTTTATTTAATAACATTTTTTTCAAATGTCTATTTTAAAAACTTTGTCAAATGGAAGACAACATTCTTAAGTGATTTAGCTTACAAGCGAAAAAGACTTTCTACTTTAAGAAAAAAATAAAAAGAAAAAGGGCAGGAAACTAACTGAACTAATCTATGTTCTCATAGATAATAAAAATGAAATAAAAACACCCTTTATCCTAATGTCCGAACCAGGTAACGAAGCTAAATAGAGCCAATGAACACATATACAGTTTCACAAAAGAAAAGAAGGATGTAAACTTTTCAAATTAAACAAGATCAAGTTTCACCGGGAGAAGCCAAAACTTCTTGATTTTAAATGATTTGCAAAAGCACAAATAAAAAGCTAGCCTAGAGGCAAGCAAACAGCAACTTCAGAAAGGTAATATTTTTCCTTTCTATCCAGTAAAACTCTTACAAAGTTAGTAATGCTTAGCTAGGTTAGCATCAAACTAGAAAATTGGAGAATGTTATCTAGCTGTCAAAGGAATGTGGATATGTAATTATAACTATCAAAGGACATTTAGGGACAGCAGTTATTTCCCAGCATTTCATATGCAAAATAAAAGGAAATCTGTCTTAGAAATTATTAGTCCGACCTCCTCACTTTACAGACTTGGGAATCTGGCAAAGGAGCTAAGGGACCAAAGGCTCTATGTTCAACTGCTTATGAACAGTTGTTTTTGTGGCTGATCCCGACACACAGTATTAAGTAGGGTTGTGTAATGCAAAAAAAAAAGGGCATATGCTCTTAGAGTCAAAGGGTCAAGACAAATCTAAAATTGTGATTCCACATTTTCCTCAGCTTTGGCATTCCATGTGGTATATGTGGCTGTATGATGCCGATCATCATAGGTCCAGGGCACACCTACCTATAGGTAAAAGACATAAAATACTTATTATTTTGGGAAGTTAATTGTATACCTTTTAAAAAAATCAAGCATAAAAGTACAGAAGATAAACTCTCGAAGGCTAGGTTGGCATGCGGAGAAATTTAAAAACACTCACCTTATGCATCCATATTCTCCCTTTACGAATGATGTGTGTCAACCTGTCCACACACACTCTGTGAAGTGGGAGATAGAAACTCAGTTCTGTCTGTGGAAGGATAATTGATAGTCCATAGGTACTCCTGTCCCCATTCCAGTTTCCATCGAAGATTAAAGAAACAATTATCACTCCTTTTTCAGACAAGACAAAGAATTTTACATCTATAGCTCCACTCTCTGCGTTTCGAAGGATTTCCCCATTTAGGGTGTGGTTAGCAAGAAAAGTGATTTCTCCATCGCTGAGAAGGCCCTGCTCTGTCTTTGGAGCCCAAATGTGCCTTACTCTAGGGCCCAGGATATTGTCCCAGTAAGCAAAGGTGGCTGCTAATAAAGGTGATTCACCATTTAAAGCAATCTCTGTCTTGGCAACAGCTGGTGACGGTGGCGGACAGAGAGCCGACATCACTGCATTGCAATTGTCACATTATCCAAGTGTTCCAGAGATTCTAAACAATGACATATAAAAGCAATGATTAGGTTCAACAGGTTTCAAGGCACCATTAAACGTAAGTGATTGAGACGTAGATTTTTTATCCCTTTCTGCAGCCCCCAAATATTTGGAAGCAGCCATCTTACTTGGATACATATATTCTACTAGTTCAAAGAGCACACATAAAATAGTGATAATTTTGAGACTTCATTGTTTGTCACTTATATTCAAGCATACATTTAGAAAGCCAAAATATAAACAAAAAGGCCTCTGAACATTCATATATAATGTCATATAGAAAGCTTTAGACTCTTACCAAACACAAGCCTAATTTTGCGTGCAATTCTATTATTTTTGGCTATTTGTTTCTGAAGCCTTAGTGAGTAAAGAGGGGGAAATCAAAGAGGGGGGATACTCGGAGATCATGATGCCTTACAACAGAAGCACCTTAAACCTGATTAAAAGGCACATCAAACTCAAAACTCACTTAGTCAAAGCCATTTAGTGATTTCCAACGCATAGTGACCCTCTAGGAAAGAACTGCCCTGTGGGTTTCCCAGGCTGTAACTGTTTATAGGAGTAGAAAGCCACATCCCGCCCTCTCCCTAGAAGCAGCTGGTGGATTCCAACTGCTGACCTTGTTAGCAGGCTAACATGCAAACCACTATGCCACCAGAGCTTCTAAAAAGACCCCAAGAACAGGCAAAAGAAGGCAATGACACAACAATGCAGAACTATACCAAAAAATGAGCAAACTGTCCTGTTCTCTATCCTCGGGGCACTAAAAGTCCAATACTGGTATTTAAAATGTCACTGAAACATCAAAACAAAGATACATAAAATTCATTATGCTACCCAGAAAGCAGTGTAGGCCTTCTATTATTGCTAAAACAGATCTCTTGTAAATGGCTAAAATTAAAAAAGCTCCACTTACTGAGAACACGTAGAGAATGAAAGGTTTGGATGGGCCCCAGAAGTCAAGCTACTGAGAAAACAGACACACAGAAGATTTAAGAGTAAGCTGCTCCAGGTCCAAGAGCCAGGCTGGAATCCAGCTTTCTTGGTAACCCGGCTCAACCTGTAAACCTCACGGCTGCCCGCACATAACTAGTCACTCCTTCCAGTACAAAAGCGGAGCCATATTTGTACGCAAAGTCTGGCAGTGGGAAAACAAACGATGACCACTTCACGTAAGGAAGTCTACAGTTGTAGAATCTACTTCTAAGAGCAATAGAAAACAGCTACTCTAGGCTATATGTTCTACCTATCTTTGGCCATGTGATTGCTTTGGAAGACGTTTAAACTATAAATTTATGTCAAAGTAAACCATCTTATTTAAAAGAATTTTATTTACATTTCATCAAGCATTCAGGGACACATGAAAAGCAGTAACTTCTATTTTTAGAGCACTGGTTGAGTACTTTTATCATGATATTAAGAACAGGCATACAGAGCTTGGCAACACTTAATCAAGTATGTGCAGGGTTGGCTGAACACAAAGACAGTTTTTATTTGTGTTATTTTTTATTGCAGTTCATTTAGCTAGTATTTTTTAAAATATCAATTTCATTGCTTAATGAGACTATGCTGGATGTTAAGTTGCACAACTTGTTCAAAATATACATTGTTTTGGAGGTAATTTAGCAGATGACAATGACATCTGTAAACTGAATTGAAATTATGATAACACCATTGCTGTCATTATTAAACACAGCAAACTGGGGACCAATAAAACGCTTTAAGTAAACACACAACCATAAAATTATATGTAAAAAATATTTTTCTTTTTTCATTTAGAAAAGTGACTAATCAGAAAGGCAATATAACAATCAGAACATTTCATCATCTCATCAAAAATAAAAGCATTCTCTAAAATTAAACTGAGTCCTAGAGCAGACATGACTGAATTAAGGGAAAACTTTTTACCTCCTTGTGGAAATTAAATGAGTATAAGATGCTGCTAATTACATGTATTCTCCCTACATTTATTAGAAAAAGAAAGGAGAGACGATGTTGAATTGTGTAGCTTTAAATCAAGAAATTAAACAATCTAAGAAATGAAGTATCACAAAGCAGTGTATTTAGTAGAGTTGCACACATGAGGTTACTAGCACTTGAAGTCCTCTTTGGTGAGGAAAATTCATGTCACTGAAAAAAAAAAGATCAATTCATAACCAATAGTCTTTTATCTACATCGCTTGTGTGCACATGTAGGACTGGCTACAGCAGCCCTAAGTGTCTTCTGAGCAAAAGCAAGGGACACCTTGCGTAAGATGATGGCTTGCCATGCCTGTAAGCAAGTCCAAGGGTCATGCGGGTTTACCCAATATACCTTTGGAAAACAGTCCAACACATGCACACCAAGATGACTTCTCCCGAGGACTAGCTGTGTGGTGGGTTTGAAGCAATGCCTGTGCCCCAAACAAGCCATTTCTTCTCTGATCAGTATGAGTTTTCAAAAGCAGGTTAGTTCACTGCTATCATAAATCCAAATGCTGTCATCATGAACCTCACACTTATAGCATGCTTTTTGTGTGTTTGTTTTGTTTTCATCCAGCCCCAAGAGAAACAGGGTCTTCTAGGGCAGCAATCTTCCAGACAGGAGCAGTCCAGGCCACTTTGAAGCTAGTCAGTTGTAGCTCCAATTGTTTTCTTTTTCTTTTACGTCTGTTGAGGGTCACAGGTGAAGCTCATGATTTCACTTGCAGGTAACCATCTAACCCAGATTCAGGTTTCTCACAGAATGGGCAGGACAGCCAACCTACCACATCTGAGAATCACTTAATAGCGAGCCCAAGGACATATTCTTTACAAGTTTTTCGCTTCTTTCTCTGAAAACAAATTCTAGAATTGTTCCCCAGGCAGCAGGCTCGGTGCATCATCTCCAATGGGGTCTAGAATATCTCCCAATACGTACAAAGAGCATAGTCATCGTGAGACAGTTCCTCATTGGTTCGGGGTTTTCCTAGAATGGCAGGCCACAGAACACCCGGCCACAGACCACCCTCACGCAACCTCCCTCCCTCTGTACTAATTTCTCCAGGGAGCAAAAACAAAACTTTGTGTTCCCTTCAAGACTTTCGGTCTGGGAAACCCACATGGGCACCTCTGTCCTAGAGGATCCCTATGGCTCTTCTTGTTTTGGCGATATTCCCAAAGTACGAGGCATGTGTTACAACACGCATCGTCTGTCCACAATAAGTACAGTCAGACATACTGTGTCCCCGTGGCTTTACCCTATGGATGGGGCAGCTTGAGCAGGACTTGACCCACTAGCTTAACAGTGTCCCTCTAACCACAGCTTCGGTCTCCCCTGGGAAAGGAGTGTCCCATTGGGGCAAGTGCATGGGCTTTCTCCTCCTGCCCAAAGCGACGGAACTCTGGCAGGGGCCACCTTGCCCACACTGACCCCATGAGGGCACAGCAGATTGGCAATCAGTGCACTTCTCTCGGCCACTGATATGACCACCGAGCGATGCCCCAGTCCCTGCAGGCACTTCCTCAATAAGCCTGCTGGGCAAACCCGGGCTGAAGCAACCGGACCTGGTACCGCGGAACCCGAGCGCAGCTGGGTCCGGACTTGCTGCCCACATTTACACGACATCCGCACTCCTCAGAAACTTGGATCGAAATTCCGCGGGCGTGCACCAAGTCCGCCCCGCATTTTCTCCCCGAGATCAGGGACCTTCTCCGCCCCTCCCAGACCCGGTCTGCCCCTCGGCCTTCGCCAACGCCAGGGGCTCGGTGCCCGGAGGCTTTTGCCCCTGAAGCACCTGTCCCTGGCCCTCATCCCAGGTCCGAGGAGGGTCCCCCCTCGACACCACGGGCGGGAAAGCGCGAAAGAGGCCTGATCCCGTAGGATACCCTCTTGTCTGAGCCGCCGCCGGGAAGCCCGGGGCCCGGATGCAGTCAGCTCCCCTAGTCCCCAGGCGGGAACGCCTGACGCCAGGCTCCCCTTTAGGGAAGAGAGGGAAAAAGATGAGCCGGTCGAGTACGGAGGAGAGGCCCCGCCGCC